CGTAATATGACTTTACTATTAGCAACTAAGGTTACTATTACTATTTATTTACGGAATTCCTATGAACTTTATCAGCACGACAATGAAGTTGAAAGCGTGGAGTTAGTGAGAGACAAAGAGAGAACATATATCTTTCCAGGGAGCAGACTACGCACACCTTGCGTGGATCTGACGATGGCCTTTGACACAGTGAATCGCAATTGACAGCTGCGCCGGTAGATGTGTCGGGTGCTGTTACATCCGTTAGTGTGTGGGCAAAGAATTTTGTGATGCGCAGAAAGTTACACGCGAGCGCATGATATGTCATGTTACCCGAGCTTCCGTCCCAGATCGTGATCACTAAAGATTATTTGATCTTTATATTTGTGTGAGGGAGTTTCTCTCACATGCCTAATAATTGCGGACCACCTATTCCTCAAGTGTTTTGCTCAATGTGCTTTTCTACAATATGCATATACTCTTCTTATCTTTTTTTTTCATTTAACACTATCCTACAACGACATTTCGATACGGTCAAGTAATTTGCTGGTCAGTTTATAGAGGACGTTGCCCATCCCTAACATTCTGATCTTATTTCTGTGAAGTCTTGCCGCCCGATGAGCCGCAGCCTCCGACTTATGTCTTGTCTCACATCGGCTTTTCGAGCTTCTGTATTGCCATTCCTGGCACGCTCTCCTAGGTGTGAAGAGATAGAAATACAGAAGCTACGACCTGAACTATCCCCATAATAATCGTCCCTTTTGCGTTAAACTTTTTGACTCTTGAGTAATCTCTTAACTTATTTACTGCCCATAAAGAATGGAGCCGAATTTTTTGCTGAAAATTTTGAATTTATGATCTCAAACTAAAGCGAATTCCTCTCTCTCTCTCTCTCTCTCTCTCCCCCTCTCTCTCTCTCTCTCTCCCTCTCTCTCTCTCTCTCTCAAAACTGACATATACCAGATAGTAACAGGAGAACACTTGTCTTTCACAAAGTGTCGTTTTAATCGACTGCATATCGTGTCTACGTTAGAAATAAATGGTATTGCAATTAGCGATAGCTCCCTCATCGTCGGTAATGATGTTACATGCACCAAGTAACAAAGCGCAGCGTAAGGCACAAACTTCATATAGGTACTTACGCTGTGCCGTGGTCTTTGGTTGCTTCGGCTTTGTTAGTTTCCTTGCTCATGGCAGACAAACCTGCAAGTAGTGTACGCCCAAACGCGCGCCCCGACGGCATCACCGACAGTGAAGTCCATTTTCAGCCGTATGCTTCCTTGTGTGCCCTAACAGGGCAATTCAAACTGCGGCCGTATCGATCGCGGTCGTTGGAACCTTGCAAGGTCATGCCGTATGACCTCGAAGTATGCTGAATATTTCAGCTTGCCAGCGATGTGGAAAAGAGCTGTTCATGAGGGCCAGTGAATGGTGGGTATTGCCCGGCGGTAAGTCATTCCATTGCTGACAGTAAATGTGGTATGCCCATGTATTAATTTGACCTCGGGACTTCCAAGTGGTAGTGTTTGGCAACATCTATACAACTGCGGTCGTACTGCTAAGCTTGTTCTAAATATGTCAGATTTGCAAAGGGGTCTCTGAAGCGGTCTCGCGACTGTTACAACTCACCAGAGTAGGCATAGCCCATCGACCCAAGCAACAATTTGACGTCGCCTGATGCAACCCAAGGAGCCATTGCTACCCGCTGAAACCTCAGCAGTCATCTACAAAATAAATTGCAATGAGGGCGACTGCAACTATGTGGGCAAAACCGGGCGGAAATTGTAAACTCGCCTACAAGAGCACAAATCGGCCACTCGGAGGTTAGACCCTAGCTCTCAACTAGCAACACACGTTGGAGAAACAGGGCATACTTTTGACCTCCAGAGGGCCACCATCTTAGGCCGAGGCAAAACAAAAGCAGAACGGCAAACTCTCGAGGCGTGGTTCTCCGATGCCCACTCTATCAACAGGCATCTGGACCTTCCTGCAGTTTACAAAGTCCTACGTCACCACGATCGTAGAGCTCAGGAGCAAACAACCACACCGGACTTAAGAAGGCCCTACGGAGATAGCCTGACGCTGAGTTTACTCTGTGAGGAAGAACAAGAACCGTCAGACCGACCGCCCGACAGAGGTTCACTCAGCTCCCCTTGACGGAGTGGTGACTCACAAAGCACACAGACAAAACGCCTGTCCACCATCTCCCNATTTTCAAATTTCAAGAGGCCGAAATCCTCACAAGGGGTGACAACAACGTGAGCCGCGAGCTACTTGAGTCATGGTTCTCAGGCCCGCAATCCAACAACAAGCACAATGACCTCTCGGTACCATATTCCGTGCTGAGATTTTCCCTAAGCAGGGGAGTCAGTCACGTGGGGAAAGCGCGGGCGAGCAATCATCACAGTGACAGTGAGCCAATTTGCCGAGCAATCGTCACACCAGCATCCAGCAGGGATGACGAAATCACGGCCATTTACGACTCGGACTCGGACTGACAAGCCACCACCTCATCGATTACGACCGCAGCGGTGATTGCGAGAACTGTTAATTGCAGTGCGCATACGGTCCCACGGCAGCCACGTGCTATAAATACTGCACGCCCTGTGCCACCATCACCTTTATTTGCGAATGTCTTTGAGGATGGATTCGAGTGAGAATCCGAAACGTCAGGCCAATAAGTTTACTATTCCAGTGATCGCATCTTTGTCTTCTGAACCTTCCCCTAAGCTAGTTTTTTCCTTAGGACAGCTCGGGAAGTAAGAGTACAGTCGTCGCAATTGACGACGTCCGCCATGTACCCCACGATGTGGATGCAACAACCAGTGCTTTGTTAGTGCAGTAGTTGATAGTGAGACGGACTTGCGCAGCATCTACCGCACTCTCACCTCCCAATCCAACCATGCCCCGATGTCAAGACAATGCCGAGACGAAATGTCGCACTAATGAATGACAGTTAAACAGCCCGTCCACAAGTGCCAAACTCGACCAGGTTTAAAGGAGGAGACACGATCGCTGGGACAAGAGCTTTATTAGCCGGACGTTTTGGATTCCTGCTCATCAGGTTCACGAAAAATACAGAGACGACTCGGATCTTACGTTCGTGAGGGTGCCATGGTGACCGTCCGGAAAAATAAGCCATTGAGTCTGACTCCCAGTCTTTCGGCCAGTCACGCCGCATACACACACTGCTGACCACGCGGACCGAGTTACCTACTTAGCTGGCCACCTTTTAGGCAAAGACTCTGCTTGTCACGATAATAGCCTGGGGGGGGGGGAATGCACGATGACCTGATTGGATCCTGATAGTATACCAGATTTGTCCTACTCAGGTAGGATTTCAAGACTATTGCGTATCATAGGGCGACCGAATAAAGAGGGTCAGATGTCGACGTACAAAGGCAGCGTGTACTAAGGCAGTAAGTGTTGTGTGCTTTTCTCTGTACTTTGACATCTGATGATGTTTGCCTACTTTTGACGCGGTGTGTTGTAACTGGTTCGTGACGAAGCGGATCGTGGTTTGGATTTGGGGTTTAGGCAAGGGTTAGGGTTTTAGGGTTTGTTTTAAGGTTACAGTCAAGTTCAAATCTCCCCTAAATATTTACGGGTAAGAGATTTTCTATTAAAGGCATGGGTATGATTGTCGTTAGGTTTATAGCTAAGTAGGTCTCCCCAAGGGGCTACTATCTTCTTGCCTAATTATATGTGTCTTAATTTTGATCTCCTGTTCAGTATGTCCGGAGTAATTTTCTGTTATCTGCATTTGCTCACTTCGATAAGGACACTGAATGCTTTGAATAGGAGACAAATAACCCACTCCCCGGAAGACCGACGTGATGCATTGAGTAAATGGGTTTTATGAGCCTTCACAATGCTCTTGTGCGGGTCTGGCATGTAGACGTGTCATGTCTCCCCCCCCCCCTCATCCGACGTTTCGCCCGTAGCTGCTTTCCCTTACGCCTGTTTATTGTTGTGTCAGGGCGCACCTGCTTCACCTACAATCTGGATCAGTTTGCCAATGAGGCCGTCCTGTTGAACCGTGTAGGCCACCATCCAAATATTGTTCGGATGCTGGGGATGGTCAAGCAGAGCGGTGAGTCCTCACGCTTTCCCTTCTGTCTTTTGCACTCTAATGTGTGGTGTACTGGTGTCGCCTGGCTTTCCTATTCCTGTCATAGCGCTTGCCTAGTCCTGTATCGCCCTAATGGTGCGTTAGACATGACGACACACACTTGCCTTGACCCTAGTTCACATGGTCGAGAAGCGATCGTAACACTTCGGTTTCCTACCGATATCAAGGTGAATGCGGAAACTACCTAACACTGCGCATTTACTTGACTTAAACTTAGCTCAGAGAGTCGAGAAGCGATCATACCGTCCCGGCCTCTTCCATGTACCGAGGCGAGCGCAAACGTTCCTCTGCACTTAGCCCACACTTCGCCCGATAAATATTTACTGCCTACACTGCAGTCTTCGCTTATTTGTGTGTTTTTAAATATGTACATATATGGCTGACCAGTTATCCCTACGCAGCCTATGGTTCCTTGAATTTTCCATTTAAACACCTTTCTACACTTGTTATCAGGTATCTTTAGCAGCGTACAACGTTATCTGTTAATATTTACATTACTCCGGCGTCGCGCTGCTTTCTGAGATTGTCTGATTTGGGTTCGCTTTCGCGCACTGAAAACCAGTGGGAGTGGAAACATCACTTATCTCTCGTCGTTCCTATTGGCTGGAATCGCCTTGGCTGTCTGACTGGATGTAGTCTTACTATCGGCGGCTTATTCAAACCCCACTTCTTACTGAAAACCATTTTAGTTTTTTTGATTATCACGCTAACTTTCCGTTGCTATACAGCGGCCCAACGTAAGTTTCAAGGCCGGAATTCATTTATTTTCTGCGCTTCCTCAGATTTCACCTTCCATCCTACGCGCATGCTACCTCACCCGTAAAACCACCATCACCACTTTTCCTGCCAGATACGGCTAGCGATCTATCTTGGGATCCTACAACCTACGATGTTCACACGTGTGTTCCCGACCATATTCAATTTCATCGATTTTCGCTGCCTCCGGCAGGTCTCACTGGACCGTCTGCCCATCCTTTGGTCCGCTCCAGAACTACTGGCCAACCCTCCCGTATGGAATCCGAAAAGTGATGTCTGGTCCTTTGGAGTGCTTCTGTGGGAAATCTTTTCGTTGGGCTCGACACCCTATCCCTTCTGTGCGACGGAGGAGGCAGTGTTCGACCGTGTTCGTTCCGGTTGGCGTCTTACAGCGCCCACCATTGTTCCCCGCCAACTGGAGAGCCTGTTCAGTCACTTCCTGTCGTCCTGCTGGGGTGCGGTGGGCCAACGGGACAGCCGACCTCCCTTCTCTGAGCTACTCTTGTTTCTGCGTCAGTTATTGGTCCTGCCAGAATCGGCACCGGCGCATGTGTCGGATGTAGCGGTAAGCTTACATCCCCGCTCGTTGCACATAGTTCTGCACCCTATGTGGCGCACGCGTCGCCAAATGCTTGTGGATGTTTTTCCATTTGCCCCGAGGGGAACCGGGGTGATTGCGTGGCCGATGAACGATGTTATTTCTCCAAGAAGAAACGATTACTGCGAATCGAAGAAGTTTGTATACAAAGCATAAAGCAGTAAATAGGTTATCCTGGGGATGAAACGAGGTGAGTGTTTTTAAAAGTACAGACGACTAGATTGTATGGGTCTACAATGGCCAAAGTCGTTTTGGACCTAGTAGCGACTGGCCAAGGCTTACAATAAAAGACAATGACTAGGGATACCCTCAACGCCTGTATCCAAACCTTTTGGTTAAGGATTTTGGAGTGTTCTCTGGTGTCCTTCGAACAATACCCTCTTCCCCTCTCAGATGGTCTTGTCATCGCATCTCGCATGTGACTAGACTTATTGGCGCACATGTCGTTTTTGCCAGCTGATGAGGAATGCTTTCAGACTGTTGGTGATTACGTCTGACCCCGTAGGACAATGATGCCTACTTGTTTAATAGTTTTCCGTAATGAGTAGACAGGTATGAGTTAAAAGCCCAGACACGCGTGTTTCGTCGATCTTGTGCCTCTGTTTGAGCAGGTCTGTTCCAAAGGAGTTACTCGAAGTTTGCTTATTATTTTCTTGGACATTAAACAAGGCAAGTCTCCTTAGTACGTTTCTGCGCCAACGAGTGACGTCAGTAGGCGTGCTCAGAGAGGGTGAGCTCAACTTCGACCAATCAGCTAACACCAAATTATATTTCAAGGAAAACATGCCTAAAAATATTCATTCTTTTGTTCATTCGGTAGACAACTAGGTCTTCTTTTAATTTTATGCTCGGTGGAGGGACATTATTCAGTTTTAAAATGAGGTAGTTCTCAGTGTGGATAGGAAGATTAGTGTTGTTGTTGAGCAGACAGCGGTCTCTTCCCCCATCGTCATTTGTCCTGGCAAGTTCCAACCTGAGAACGGGAACCGAAGTCATTCAGTCGTCCAAGCAGCCTGTTACCTAGAGAAGCTGTCCGACAGTGGTTGCGTTTTTGGCTTGCTCTAATCCCCGGAGTAGTGGGCGGGCTTCTCTGTTCATCTCACCGGCGGACTAATTCAAAGTGCCATAATTGTGCCGGCCAGCAGCTGGTGTGGACTTTAATGGAAGGACCGGAAATTTTGCCACCGTCGTACTACCGTTGCCCTGTTTCCCGCTTACAGATCGACGAGTTTTCGCGTTGGTTTCCAGCCACGAGGATAGTCCATGATGAGGAGAACGTAATTTATAGTGAAAGATAAAAAAAATAACGAAAATGGTTAGTATTGATATTTCGAGAGCTTTTCTTATGGAATGCTGACTGAAAACCGAAAATTTATTTTCAGTTCGAAAAGATTACTAAGGTATGGTTGCCATGTTACTAATCTCGTCGCATAGTGTCAATATATTCCAGTCACATAATGATGTCGACTATGGAACGAGCTTATTTTGTAAAAGATGACTACTTGAGTAGCATGAATTTTCACGGTTGGCTTTCGATGCTTTTATAGAAAACATGCAAAAATATTCCTTCTTTTAATACTTTTGTAGCAAATTACATCTTCAAATTTTTGTACTTGAAGAGCATCTTCCGGTTTTAAAGAAAGTTTTACAATTCCCGGATAATTTCGAAGCCGACCTTCCGTTACACTTGCATTTAGAATTTCCAGACTACAAGCCGCACAGTTTTCCTGCAGGAGAATTCATAAACTTCTATGTACTATTTAAAAGAACATATAAGGCTCACAAAATTTTGCAATGAACGGTAACGTTGTCCACTTTATAAGCAGCATTTATATATGTACTGATGTGGTACTGTATGATCGGACATCTCACGTTTATGAAAAATCTCATATTTAAAGACCCTTTTAAAACCGCAAGACACTCTTCCCTCAAGTGTAAAGTTTGAAGAAGATGTAATTTGCTATCAAATGACTAGAGAAATGAATATTTCGCGCATATTTTCTACTACATACATTTGGATAAGGTCATCGAAAATAAATGAGGGAAACTCAAGCTGCTTGCGCAATCATTTTTGCCAAGGTCTATTTTACGAAGTAGTCGATAAAAAGCCCGGTCGAAACTTAGCATCTCGAAGTATCTGGATTCTTTTGTGAAATTGCTGCGTGAAGATTACTATCGCAACCCTTCTAGAGTAATCCTTTAGAGTCGCGAACGCATTTCGGAATTTCGGTCAAGTTTCCTGAGATAGCACATCTAATGTGGGTGTTTTGTATCGAAGAAGTCTTTCTTGCCATTTCACGGCCCATTTGATGAGGGCGGTTAGGTTTTGCATTGGACTCCGGTCTGAGTGGGATGATGATTATTCCCTGATCGCAAATGGAGAGGCTGGCTGCTAGGAGAGTCAACCTCTTCCGACCGATGGACTGGCCCGCATAATTGTATTGTTCATGCGGCGGCCTTTGCCGTGGTTATAACCGAAGCAGTCCTTCACGAACGCCAGAGAAAGAGAGAGGACTGTGCTGTTCGAGCCTAAGTCGACTGAATGGCGGACAGTCAGCTAATTTGAGACTAACTAGTTGACGGTTGCCGTGCAACAGCGACTTTTCGGCGAAAATGAATGGCCTTGGGGCATTCCATTCTCGAAGCAAACAAAGCGACTGGCATAGTGATCGCGCTTGCACACAACTCCCAGCGAGTGGTTTTGGATGTCTTACAAATTGCACAACTCTGTCATGCGAGCATGGTGATACCTTATTTGGATATTTTAGTCGCAATAAATGCCTCTTCTTACATGGGGACAGGTCAGTTGCACATGTAGCCAGTCTGATTTAGGCTCGCGTCTTTGCATTTGCAATCATAGATAAGTGTTGTCCGACGGTTCTGTTTATGCCCTTCTCATGCCTCATCGTTAATTTGGCATCTCCCCGGACTGATATTTGCGTGCTTGCCACCCATTTTGGACGTCAATTTAAACCTTCCTGTTACTTTCGAGAAAAAAAGAGTGATTACAGTGGTTTTAGCTGGCTTATTTGCCATAACTGGCGGCGATCGCATATTGGTTTACCGTATAAAGCTTAAGTGAACATTTTGATTCCAAAAGTTGTATTTTACGTGTCTCGTCAATAAAGACCAAGGCTTGTGGTTCTTCCTCTTGGCACGCACGGAAGCCTGTTCAAAAACGAAGCTGTTCTGGGAGTGGTGCGGCAATGTTTCTTAAAAAAACATCGAACGCCTGATGATGCAGCACTAACACTGTGAAGTCATTTTGCAAATATCGGAGTTGATTTTCAGGGTAAGTTTCCTTCATTATCACGAAAACCACATGTCACAGGGACGTTTTGCTGTTTATTTATTCATACTGGTGTGACATTCTCTAATGTTGTTTCATGGCCTTCCTCTTCCAGGGATACCTCAGCATGGAGCCTGAACCATCGCACTGAGAAGCCAATTATTTTTTTATCCTGACAGTCTCGCCATCCTTACCTGCTCACCATTTTTGTGCATTTAACACCTTTTTTTTTAAAAAAAATACAAGTTTCAGAGATTCCGACGTTTTCTGCAGAGAAATCCTGCACCTCCGAACTAAGCCATTTTGATCCACTGGCCTGATGGGATTGCAGCTAATAGATTGATTTGAGGTTAGGAACTTTTGACGAGGGACGCACTTCTCTTCCAAGCCTGTGTCATTTTCCTGAATTGCACTGTAAGAAAAGGGTATGCCTTCATTTTGCACTGGTTACGGGACGTTTCACTCTGCTTGCGCGTCGTCTTAGCTTTTGCATGTCGTAGCAATCTTGTTTGCTGTTTGGTCTGAGGAAGAAGATGAGCTCGCTGGATCAGATTTATTTGGGTATTTAGGTTTCGAAGAGCTTGGCTGGACCTCTATTGTCAACGCGTGAAGTACACTTAATCGGCCAGGAACTGAAGTGGCATTACGTATTGGTCGGCCTCATACTGATCGCGTTTTCTCTTCTCTTGTTACCTCGGCCTCTCAGGGATGATTGGCTGGCGTTTTATCCGCGTACTTTGTGGGTCACCATTTCGTCGGAGGTGATTGAACCTTTGTCAGGTCCTGCGGTTCTTTTTCTGCCTCACCCAATAAACTCATCATAGGGCTGTGTCTGTATGGCCTACTTAAGTTTTGTGTGGTCGCCTTGTCCTGAGCTTTATGAACGTGGTGACGCAGGACTGTATGTTGAAGGAAGTTCAAGGTGCCTATCGATTGACTTCGCATTAGAGTATTACGCCTGGATTGTTAGACGTCCTGCTTTCGTTTCTCCGGCCTAAGATGGTAGCCTCCTGGAGATCGGAATTATGTCCAGTTTCTCCAACGTGCGTTGCTAGTTGAGAGTTCTGGTCAGCTTCCTGGTCGCCGGTCTGTAATTTCCGCCTGGTTTCCGCAACATAGTTGCAGTCCCATTCATTGCACCTCATTTTGCAGACAACTGCCACTTGGATCGCGGTCGATTAAGTGTATTTTGTGCTTTGAAAATGGAGACCCAGCCAGACTCATCGAAACGTCAGCCCCCAGATAAACCCATTCCAGCGAGCTCATCTTTTTTCTCAAATCATCATCACTGATCTCTTAACTTTGCCTATTTGAGCTGTGTGTGCTAGTGGACGGCTCTATCACACCAGGGCACGCAAACACTTGGCGAAACTATTGCGACTTGGTAATGCGCTCCGGGGTATTATGCCAATGTTACCACCTGCAGCGACCGAGGACCTCAAGGATATCTCACACCGAGTTTGCGAAGCACTAGTAAGGGGCCCTGGCTAAGACTGATATGAACAGATTCGTTAAAATGTCGAAATACGCATCTATACGCAAGGGAAGAAGACAGGTTAGGTAGGTAATAGAGGTATATTTGGAGAATAGCGAACTGGGGATACATAGTAGTAAATTGTTCAAACGGGATCAGTTGCAACAAAGTCTGCATGTTGGGGCGGCACAGACATGCCAGCTAAACAACCGATGGGAAGCGCAGCGCTGTGGGCAGGGAGATGCCGATGTAGAGAGAAGTGCGGGCGTTACTGTAAGTTGCGGGAAGGGGGTCGGCGGTAGTGAAAGGGCGCCGGCCATCTTTGCCGACATGCAGTTAGGCCATCACCGTCCTAGGTTCGCGCGCCAGAAGATTCCCTTCATTCAAAAAGCCTATAAAGATCGTGGGGCGTTAAAACCTGAGTCGAATATTACAGCAGAACGGGTAAAACAGTCAATGATCGGTTGTGAGCAATCCATCGGTGACGTCGGAAGGCGGTGAAATGTGCCTGGCTGCTCGCGAAACGCCCGCGGATATTTTTCGACACTTCAGTTGGCATAAATGTATACGGGAGGGCTACAGAGGTAATTGACGGTGAGCTTCCCATTGGCTACTCCCCTCTTCCCGAAGGTCATTGTACCGAGTGCCGGCGAACCACGCTAGCGTGTGATAAATATGCGTCACCCTTAGCTAGACTTGACTTGCTAATACACATTCCGTGGCCAGCCGTGTGTTCTTTGTCTGCTGCCTTGATATTGGGTCGAGTGCGTATACGCTCCACGGGATTTCAAGTACCAGGCGGGTCATAACAGATTTCCCTGTGTTTTCATTCCTGATTTATCGGTTTCCACCGTTGGCTTTGATTCAGGCTGACTGTACTCATATTTCTTGCCATGTTTACTTGTGTCCACAAATCATATTAAATTCGCAGAATCAGTTTCCAAATCCTCAAGTACGTAGGGCTTCTCGCCGCAAGTGATTGGCTTCAAAATAATTTTGCTCTCTATTCGACGTAATATGACTTTACTATTAGCAAATAAGGTTACTATACTATTTATTTACAGAAGTCCTATGAACTTTATCAGCACGACAATGAAGTTGAAAGCGTGGAGTTAGTGAGAGACAAAGAGAGAACATATATCTTTCCAGGGAGCAGACTACGCACACCTTGCGTGGATCTGACGATGGCCTTTGACACAGTGAATCGCAATTGACAGCTGCGCCGGTAGATGTGTCGGGTGCTGTAACATCCGTTAGTGTGTGGGCAAAGAATTTTGTGATGCGCAGAAAGTTACACGCGAGCGCATGATATGTCATGTTACCCGAGCTTCCGTCCCAGATCGTGATCACTAAAGATTATTTGATCTTTATATTTGTGTGAGGGAGTTTCTCTCACATGCCTAATAATTGCGGACCACCTATTCCTCAAGTGTTTTGCTCAATGTGCTTTTTTACAATATGCATATACTCTTCTTATCTTTTTCTTCATTTAACACTATCCTACAACGACATTTCGGTACGGTCAAGTAATTTGCTGGTCAGTTTATAGAGGACGTTGCCCATCCCTAACATTCTGATCTTATTTCTGTGAAGTCTTGCCGCCCGATGAGCCGCAGCCTCCGACTTATGTCTTGTCTCACATCGGCTTTTCGAGCTTCTGTATTGCCATTCCTGGCACGCTCTCCTAGGTGTGAAGAGATAGAAATACAGAAGCTAAGACCTGAACTATCCCCATAATAATCGTCCCTTTTGCGTTAAACTTTTTGACTCTTGAGTAATCTCTTAACTTATTTACTGCCCATAGTGAATGGAGCCAAATTGTTTGCTGAAAATTTTGAATTTATGATCTCAAAATAAAGCGAATTCCTCTTTCTCTCTCTCTCTCTCTCTCTCTCTCAAAACTGACAGATACCAGATAGTAACAGGAGAACACTTGTCTTTCACAAAGTGTCGTTTTAATCGACTGCATATCGTGTCTACGTTAGAAATAAATGGTATTGCAATTAGCGATAGCTCCCTCATCGTCGGTAATGATGTTACATGCACCAAGTAACAAAGCGCAGCGTAAGGCACAAACTTCATATAGGTACTTACGCTGTGCCGTGGTCTTTGGTTGCTTCGGCTTTGTTAGATTCCTTGCTCATGGCAGACAAACCTGCAAGTAGTGTACGCCCAAACGCGCGCCCCGACGTCATCACCGACAGTGAAGTCCATTTTCAGCCGTATGCCTCCTTGTGTGCCCTAACAGGGCAATTCAAACTGCGGCCGTATCGATCGCGGTCGTTGTACCCTTGCAAGGTCATGCCGTATGACCGCGAAGTATGCTGAATATTTCAGCTTGCCAGCGATGTGGAAAAGAGCTGTTCATGAGGGCCAGTGAATGGTGGGTATTGCCCGGCGGTAAGTCATTCCATTGCTGACAGTAAATGTGGTATGCCCATGTATTAATTTGACCTCGGGACTTCCAAGTGGTAGTGTTTGGCAACATCTATACAACTGCGGTCGTACTGCTAAGCTTGTTCTAAATATGTCAGATTTGCAAAGGGGTCTCTGAAGCGGTCTCGCGACTGTTACAACTCGCCAGAGTAGGCATAGCCCATCGACCCAAGCAACAATTTGACGTCGCCTGATGCAACCCAAGGAACCATTGCTACCCCCTGAAACCTCAGCAGTCATCTACAAAATAAATTGCAATGAGGGCGACTGCAACTATGTGGGCAAAACCGGGTGGAAATTGTAAACTCGCCTACAAGAGCACAAATCGGCCACTCGGAGGTTAGACCCTAGCTCTCAACTAGCAACACACGTTGGAGAAACAGGGCATACTTTTGACCTCCAGAGGGCCACCATCTTAGGCCGAGGCAAAACAAAAGCAGAACGGCAAGCTCTCGAGGCGTGGTTCTCCGATGCCCACTCTATCAACAGGCATCTGGACCTTCCTGCAGTTTACAAAGTCCTACGTCACCACGATCGTAGAGCTCAGGAGCAAACAACCACACCGGACTTAAGAAGGCCCTACGGAGATAGCCTGACGCTGAGTTTACTCTGTGAGGAAGAACAAGAACCGTCAGACCGACCGCCCGACAGGTTCACTCAGCTCCCCTTGACGGAGTGGTGACTCACAAAGCACACAGACAAAACGCCTGTCCACCATCTCCCAAGAGGCTGAGGCAGCGAGAGGAGAGAAAAATCGATCAGCATAAGGCCGATCAACACAAGATGCCACTTTAAATCAAATTTATGATAGATTAAGTGCATTTTCCGCTTTGACCATGAAGAGCCGACCCAGCTCTTTGAAACGTCAGCAGTTAAATAAACCTGTTCAGGAGAGCCTATTTAATTCTCTAAATATGTCATTTTGTTGCGTATCCGGAAGGCAATTGAGTTCACCATCCTCGTTATAAAATGCACCCCGTCAGTACATCCCGAGTCTATTATGATGGTAACTTTTCCGTGAGACACACGAATAGGAATGACTGGGTAGGAGTTGGGGAAATATTCCAAGAGTATTGAGAGCTGTACTTGGCCATCGCCTCCGAACACGTCTCAATGGATGGTTGAATCGACGATGTTCATGACCGCCATGATGGCGATAACAATGATGATGTTGATGAGGCTGATGAGGGAAAATGAGGATTTGCAGAGGGCATAGAATACAGAAACGGATGTTTGTGTCCAATGGAATCAATCCTTACCCATACGGCCGCCGCACGGGCTACTGTGTGGTGTAGGTGCAGGTGGGGAAAGGAATGGTGGTGTGAGATTGCCGGCGGTTGTCTGCTGCGGATGTTCATGAGTACAAATATGGCCTAATAGGCCCCTGCGGTGAGTGGGTGTGCGGGGGCATTGAGGGCAGTTGAGGCGGATTCGCGAGTGTATGCTGGTGCTACAGGAACTGGTTTCCCATTCTCTGTGGGATGGATTCGCAAGTGAACCAGGCCGAAGTGTAAGGTGATTGTTCGATTGCGGTGGGGACATGGCTGAATCGAGTCCATATCGCTGGAGGTGGGGGGGTTGGTGGTGGTGGTGGTGGTGGTGGTGGTGGTGGTGGTGGTGGTGGCGGTGGTGGTGGTGGTAGACAGTGATATCAGACGTCGTCTCATCAGTAGGGGAAGCGCGTGAATTCGTGGTGCTGGTGGTGGTGATGGTCGTCGCTACGGTCTGTGCTGGAGTTGGGGCAGAGTGGATGGTGTCGGTGGATAATGGCGGGGGGCAGGTACAGTGTGATTGACAGTGACGGGGTGGCTGTGGTCGCGGGGTTTGCAGAAGAGACGAGACTGGGAGAAGAGGTAGACGTTGTCCCGCTGATGGCGCAGTGGGTCCGAAGATGCCTTACGAGACCGATTCATGCTCTGAATGCGCGTTGGCAGCATGGGCATGTTGGAAGCGAAGAATGGTTGGCATTAAGGAGGAGAGGCAAATGCGACTTGTGAGCCTCCCTCATGGCTTTGTCGGCGGCGATCCTTCCCTTTACTTGATTGTAGATTGCTCCGTCAAACGTGAAGCACGTCCTGAGACAGAACTTTAGAAGCTGAAGGACTTGGGCATGTCCGAGACGATTCTGTTTCATTGTATTTGCTTCATAGGAGTAACTCGACGGTCTCGATTGCCAGATCCTGAGGAATAGAAGTAAAAACGTATGTGACATCAAAAAATACAATGACGTCATTTAGCAAGAGACGTACTCCTTTATGCTTCTCCAGGAATTGTGTTAACGAGCAGACGGGGTGTCCGAATCAGCGGTCAGAAATTTGAGGCGGCGAAACAGCCATTTTGCCTTTGAGCGACACAATGGGCCGGAGAGGAGCGTCCTCCTTGTGAACCTTGGGGAGACCATAGAATCGAGCCAGGGCCGTTTCTTGGGCTCTCGCCATGCGTCGGTCGGTCGGTGCTATTGCACCCGAGTTCTCCAGTGCCAACAGTGTCGCATTAATTTCGCGTGTCAGCGTTTTTATGGGGTTGGTTTGACTTTGCACTGTTTGACCAGGAGAGTGACTCTACCTGATCTTTGGCGAATTACGGCTGTTCAAATCAGTCAAACTACTTCACGGTTGTCGCTGAGACTCCCTCGCTAGAAGCCCTTCGATATCTGTTCCATGGATTCTGTAGATTCTGCCATTCAGATGACCAAGGACAATCATGAAGATTGTAAGAAGATCAGGTGAAGC